CAGTCTCACGCTCATTGCTTCAGTGATGCTATCTACCCAACTCATCCTCTGCCGGCCTCTTCTCCTTGTGCCTTCAATCTTTCCCAGCATCAAGGTCTTTTCCAAAGAGTCCTCTCTTTGCATTAGGTGACCAGAGTATCTGAGCTTGAGCTTCATTATCAAATGAGTAATGATCATTATTTTCATATATTTGTATATTCATTTGCTACCTACAGAAAGACCTAATGCCTGGAATGCAGGTAACTCTCTAGTGGTTGGAAGCAGCTAAAATGCATTTAGAACCTATTTTGATCTCTAAATTTTCTACATTTTTAAAAACAAAATTACTGGTTCTTCTTGTGTTCATATCAATACCCATTTTTTAAACAAAGCTGAAAATTATCTTATAGTATTTTTTTTAGAATCAATGCATAAATCAACTGTGTATTAATTCAATTTTTCCCTTAATACCTAACCACATTTCAGATTCAGTTATACCTCAAACTGTATAGAATTCTGCAATTTATTTTACTATCATTCACTTTTGCAGGATTGCTCTTTAATAATGCCCTCTGTTCACTGAAAATTCCTCTTTCAGCAGTTTCTCAATGGCAGAGTTCATTGACTCTCAACAACAAAGAATTGTTGCCTTCAAGGTCTCCATAGGTGGAAATCATTTCTGTTACTATTACCATGTACAAGAGCAATCAATAAAATTGCATACTGAAAACATTGTGACATTGTCTATTGATGCCAAATGTAGTTACATCAGTTGCATGTAGAGGACCAAGCCATTTTTATCAGGACTGTGGCTCAAGGAACTTTGGTATACCACACAAGCAAGATGTCACAATTTCACTACATATCCTAGATTTCTGAAGTTAAGAAACCTAAGAAATAAATAAAATAAATAATTGACCCTAGTTCTAACTCTGGCTAATATGAATGACTTTAATCACGTTTCCTACTTGCTTTTTAAAACAGTCTTAGAGTATAATGCTACTCATGCTTCTAAGTAATTAGGATTATTGAGTTTAGTAGGTCTCGCTACAATGCTAAATTTTAAATAAATCAAATTATTTCCCTCCTATTGTTATATCACTATACACAAACAATATGTTAAATGTAAGAACAAGCTTTCTGTTCCAAATGAAATAATCTCACTTTGCATTATTTGACATCAGTGTGGAAATCAACAGTATTCTTTCCCATCAGACTCCATACTTATCAAGATAAAGCTCTCAACAATAAGAAGAGGCCAAACTAGGATTATGGAGGCAGAACAACCAGGTAACAGTGTGATGCCATGTCTGGACTAAAGGCTAATCACACATCATTAATTAGTCCTAAGTGCTACCTAAAAACGTCTGTGTTTTGGTGATCTTCGTTGTAAGGACAGAAAATTATTTTTACTGCATCCATTTGTCCAAAGAATGGAACATTTTCACTCAGAACTAGTTATTCCCAAGACACATATGGTAGAGCCAGTGAAATGTCTGTGCTGACTGAAAGAATAGTAAATGGCTTTTTAATGGTAATCACAGAAAAAAGATACGAAAAAAATTAGCATAAAATACCCAAAATGTCAGCGCACTGATTTATGTTATCTGGTATTTATAAACAATATGTTAAACAGGAAACTTAAGTAGTACAGGTAGTCCTTGTTTAGTGGGAAATCACGTGTCTGTGCTTTCCTTTTCTCTGCTGCCCCAA